TCGCCCTCGGCACAGACTCTGTAGCTTGCAGTCCAGACTCTTGCTACACATGGACGTTTATCTTGAGTGGTTTAATAAGCACTTGGCAAATCTGTACGTATTATGGGTACAGAGGCCACAAGACAAGGGCTTGATCCCCAAAGAGCCCAGAGCAGGGCTTCTCCCTGGTTTGTAGGAGACAGTCACTGCAGGGGATTTATACATACGTCAATGAAGCTGAGGAAGAATAAGACACCAGAGACCCAGGATGAGCTCCTGGGTGACAAGGGCCAAGTGCCTAGGGGTCTCCTGGACGCGGTTTGTGTACATGTTAGAATTAGCTGGGGATGAAAACAATCGCAAGCAACTTTAATATCTGAAAATGCATGCCCTTAAATAACTGTACCGATTTTTTCCTAGAAAGAAGTAAACAGCTGTGGTTAAAAAAAAAAAAAAAGGCCTGCCCTTGGGCACAGGAGGTTTTGCAAGCAATCAGGTGATCCCAATGCACTTCCAGGGCTGAGAACCAGCAGCTTAGAACCCAGCGGTGACCAGGCCTGGGGTGTGGCGGAAAGTGAGCTGGCCGTCAAGCTAACATTCCTGGGGAGACCATCTGTTGATGTCTCCAGCACAAACCCTGCATCCACGACGCAGAGTGAGAGCTGCGTGAGGGTCCTTGGCACAGAGTATGGCCAGGAGACGCCGATTCTGTGGACATCAGTGACACCCAGGGGCCTGAAGCCTGGGGTCTCCCTGAACAGGAGAGCCATGGCAGGGACCCTCACCTCAGGGCCTGTCTAGTCAGCCACCGTTCCTATTCTCTGGACCAACAAGGCCATGAGTTCTGGTGTTCAGAAGGCAGGCAGTCCACTGGGGACCCTAGAGAACACTCAAAGCCTGTGGTTTCCCCGCACGGTGTCCTGCTTCCCATCCTCCTACAGCGGGGACCAGGGGTCTCCTCAGCTAGGCTAAGAACCTCGAATCTGGTCCAGCCTCCCCTAAGAGGCTCAGACCTCAGGGAGCAGCGATTCATCCCAGGTCCCTCCAGGAGCAAGGGACTCCCCGCACCACGCTCATTTCAGCCTTCCACCACCCAGGCAAGACCCGGGCCTCAGATTAAGCCACAGAAACAAATGAGCAGTAAGACAGGCCACATTCTGCACTTGTGTGAGCCCCCAGGAGTCTGAAGAGCCCTGGGGATGCCAGGCGCAGTGAGGGAGTCCAGACCGTAGCCAAAGGCCAGCTCCCAACTGCAGCCTGGCCAGGAACTCCGGGTTTGCTGGGCAACACTCGCAAAGGCAACCCATCGCCCACCCCGCAGGCCTCCAATCTCCTACAGCAATCTCAGTACTAAGTAAGCCTTATCAAAACGTCCTTAAAAGCAGCAGACTCAGTCTAGGGCCAGTGTTGTCTGGGTGCAGTGGGGAGGATTTGGGTCTCCTTGGTTTCAAAGAGCCCGAGGCCTCTTTCCACCACGCTGAAGCTGAAGAGCGGTCTCAGAACTTTGGACGTGAGGTGGGAGAATCACAAAGGGAGGGGCTCCCAGGTCCCACCCAGCCGCTGACCGTCCATGAGGCCCCCGCCTTCCCACGGCCACTGCTCCCCATCTCTCCAGGCTGTGGTGAGCACGGGGCGGGGAGACAGCAAGCAAGCGTCTAGCCTGGGGCCCGACACCGAGGAAGTACTTGAAAATTTTGATTTCCTTCCCGTTTTCAATTCAGTATTTTAAAATTTTACTTTTCAATAGATAGCACATTCATGCAGTTCAAAAATTTTAAGAAAGGATCCTGTCACAGTGGTCTCTCCCAGCCTTGTCCCCAGCCCCACAGTAACTCTATAATCTGTTTTTTAGGTGGTATCCCTTCAGACTCCCTGTATGCATTTATAAGCAGATATGAAGAGAGATTTCTCTGATTTTAGACAAAAATTTAGTCTGTTATGGGGAGGGCATAGTTCAGTGGTAGAGCGCATGCTCAGTGTGCATGAGGTCCTGGGTTCAATCCCCAATACCTCCATTAAAAAAGAAAAAATCTAGACCGTTCCTTACACTGCCCCACACTAGCTCTGTTTTCACAGCCACCTGGCATTTGGCCATGTGGCTGGACCACTGGCTATTTACTCCATGTCCTCCAGCGCAGGGCAGGGCAGGGCGGTCTCGGGTCCTGCCCCTCTCCGTAGCCCTTTCACAGCCACAGGAGTGAGCCGACAGCTGAGTCTCCCAAAGTGGAGCGGTGCGGTCAGAGTCCACCAGTGGGTGATGCTCAGGAAGTGTTCAAATGTTTTCACATCGCAAAGATCTTAAAGCCAAGATGTCCTTTTACGAAAAGCGTTCAACGAGCAGGAGAGCTCTTGCCTGGGGATTCAGAAAGGCTGGGGCGTGACCTGTCAGGCACAGCCCCCTAGGCAGCCAGGCAGAGCAGCCTGGGTGTGTCTCCCGAGCCTGGGCCATCTCCTTCCCTGTGGCAAAGGTCCCCCGGGCCAGGCCCAGGGCCTCTAAGCTGGACTCGGAGCTTGGTTTCAGTGGACACTGATGTGGCCGCTGGGAAGGATGATTTAGAAAAGCAAGGGCCAGCCTCTTCTTACTCTGCTTTCTGGAGGTGCTCAGAGTAGGGCGGGGTTGGGAGATGACACGGGGACTCAGTCTAACATCAGAGCCCATCAGATGGAGGCTGAGCTGCCGGGAGAGGGGAGGCTGTCAGGCAGGCTTCTAAGCCTGCTGAGCTTGGCAGGAAAATGGTTTTTTACTGACAGCTTTTAGCTCAGGTGCTGTTTGCCTGGAAGCCAGCAAAAACATTTGCCATGGTACAAAGAGAAGAAACAGCTTTCAAAAAAAAAAAAGAAAAAAGAAAACAGCTTTCAAAATGTCTATCACTGAATAAGAAAATGAATTTGAAGCCAGTATTTGGACTGCCCTGTGCCTAAAGTTGTTCAAAGATTTAGATGGCTGGACCGCTAACTCTCATTTCTAGGGAACCACTGACAAAAAAGACCAGAGAGGAGGGCAAAGGGTGACGCAAGGGTATTTAGCACAGGGTTAGTTACAACAGCAAGACCCACAAACCGAACGGGCCTCTACTAGGGAAATGGGTAAATAAACTGTGCCTAATGGCAGAATGTTATAAGGCCACTGAAATCTTGTTTTCAAAGAATATTCACTAACGTGGGGGAAATGGAGTACGTTAAAGAGAACAAAAGCAGAAAATAAAACCATGCACTGGCCAGACCCCACGTTTGGGATCACATACATGCGAACAGGCTGGGAGGCCTGTCAGCTGTGATTTACAAGTAACTTTTACTTTCTTCTCCGTATTTTTTCTAATTTTCTACAATGAATGCATATTAATTAAAAATGGGGGGGCCTCCATTCAACAGCATGTTTTTAAAAGTAGGTAACAACAGATGTGTGGTAATGCAGGGGTTAAACAGAAACCTCTCTCCCAAATGAAGAACTCCCCAGAGAAGTCTTTCTGATTATCTCAAGAACTGCATTCTGTTCTGCAAAGTCCCAACCGCGGCTTCAGATGGCTATCAACATACAGCAAGAGTGTCACCACCACAGAAAAGTCTGTCTCTGGCCGCGTGAAGAGCCGTCCTCAGACCGCAGGGATCGGCGCCACGCTGGGAGGACTGGAGAGGCTCCCGGCCGGGCCTCAGACCGGAGCTGTAATTTCATTAGCTTACTTTTCCTACACACATCATGTCAGATACTGCCTTTTTTTCCCCACAAGGCCTGAATTCAAAGCTTTTCTGCATCAAAGTGTTTCAACAAAAGGATGGTGGTTATAAACCACTTCTCTCTGTCGTTAAGAGACAGCCTGACAGATACAGCTCCCAAGAAGCACCGCGTTCCTTTGGGAACTAGTCTGAACCTTTCCCACCCAGCTCGAGAGACTGCTTGTGGACAGGAAAGTGTGCTCATTTAAAGAGTGGGTAGCTTGCTTTGGGGCCACCAGCTGTGTCATTTAGCTGTGTGGCCTTGGGCAAGTGACCCTTCCTGAGCCCCAGTTTTATAATTTTGAACAGAAGACATGAGACTATACCACCCAGAAGTCCCTTTCACGCTGGAAGACTAGCACGTGGAGATCTTAACTGAAAAAGGCAAGGCCGTGCGGGACAGACCTTGGCAAAACAGCAAGTATTTTGGAGCGGACCAGGGATGGGAGGGATTAAAAACTCGCTACATGTAGGCTTTCTGATGCGCCTGCTGGCGAGTATGGCCACAAAGCCGGAGACAGGATGCCTGATGGCAAGGTAGTCCCCACCACTGTGGGGAACAGAGGGAGAGAGGAACGTAAGGAGGGGGCCCCAGGCTGGGCACGGGGCTGAGCCTCCTCGGGGCCTCAATGGTGGCAAGGCTTCTCCGCCTGGCCCCCTCGGGGACCCATCAGTCCTAAGGAGAGCCCCGCTCTGCTGCCTCAGTAGCTCTGGGGAAACCCCTCCTACGTGTTCCTCCTGCTGGCACGGGCCTCTTAACAGCCGGCTCTGCTCTCAGTCCCCAGTTTAGATTCGGCCCCAGACTTGGGATTTCCAACAGCCCCAGGGACTGTTGCCTGTACCCTATGTGTGATGTCCAGGACTGATTGCCCGCCTCTCCTCTCTCTCCTGAATTTCAGACTCATGAGATTTCCGGTCCTCCTACCATTTAGAACTCCTAGTGTCCAACCTAAATGAATGCCTCCAGGAAAAAGAATACAGTGGAAAAATAAAAGATGGCAAGGGCTTTGAGACGCAAAGAGGCTCTGATGACAGCACTGAGTCATATTCTGGAAGGCACTCGAGGTGGGAGACACTTCATTCAAAGCCAAACTGAAAGGCTCAATCCTCGCCTTTGCGGCGAAGTCAGGTGTCTGAGCACCGATGAGAGGGGCTCCGTCACCCCATCTCGTAGGACAGAAGCCAGTGCTCGGTTTGAGCTGGGCTGCCCGGTAAAGCGTGGGTGCCAGGGAAAGAGCCCGTTTGTCGGCTTCCCTGCTTCAAACCCAAACTGAACAATGAAACTGCACAAATACTTCCGTACTTACAGGCATGGTTTTGTCTCCAAAGAAATAAATGGTCTTATAGCCATCGTTTTCCACGTGTCTCAGGCAGTACCGCTTGTCCCATCCGTCAGGGAAGACATCAAAGCTGATCTGGCCTCCTGCCGAGGGGGGAGGGAGACACACAAGGTCAAAGTGAAAAGGAGGCTGATGATACGTCACTGAAAACAATGTGCCGTTCACTCGCGTCATTAACCGGAGTGTCAGTGTTGCCTTTACTACCCTAGTTTGCTAATTATAATGCTTTCGGGGTAGGTTCTAGAAATTAATTCTTGCATTATGTTTGTTTCCGACATTATTTCACCTAAAATCTAAATAAGAGACTCAGAGTGGGACACGCATTTGCATCTGAGAGCACTGCTGTGTACATGAAGCACTGAGCAAACTTCGTGAAGGAGCGGCCACCGGCTTCACTCAGCCTCGCTCACCTTGAGCTGTACCGCACCCTCGGCGGAAAGGCCTGGAAGCGGGCTGCACCCCCGCTCACTGCGCAGGAAAATGAAAATCCCACCGAAGGGGATTTACAGGCCTCTTCCTTGGGCAGTAAAAACCCCTTCAAAGTTTTGTCAGGAAGATGTTTATCGCCCAGTTCAAGGACACTTAATAAGCCACCCACTCAACTTTTATACAGAATCCCTCTGCGGTCTGTTTTCGGGCACGCACATGCTATTGGTAAACGAGGGGGCTCTCAGAACTGGCTTGTCAGCACCCACAGCAGAAATCGGTCCGCTTAAAGCATCTGACAGGCACCTTCCACCAAAGAGCAAGGCAAAGATGTCAGCCCTGCGGGAAGAGCTCTGCAGTCACCAGGAACGTCTGTGCCGGCCTGTCGTGAACAGAAGCTTTGTGAACCTGGACAAGCGCCTATCCTTTTCTGGGTCTCAGTTTCTTGATTTGTGAAACCAACCCAAGTGACTTCTAAGGTTCCGCGCCGTTCACACATTACAGGATTCCAGAGCACGCTCAGGCTACTTGATCTAAGAGGCCCCCACCCTCCCTGTCTCCTACAGAGTCACCAATGTACTGTCTTCTGCACAAACACGTGGGGATGAGTTCCTATTCTTCATTAAGCAAGATGCTCTTATTTTGAACCAGGAGAATCACGGGGAAGAACAATCCTGCTGGGTAAGAATTAAGAACCAAACCCAGCATTTCCTGGAAGGTGGTTCCTAACTGGGCAAGTCTCTGCTCTGGCTGATTACGCAGGAGAGTGATCTCCCCCTACAGGTGGGCGCCTCATTGAACCCTCTTGCCCGTCTACAAACTGGGCACAGTCCAAGTTCAAGAGTGCACCGGCCCACAACAAACTCCTGGCAAACAGCTCCCAAAGCGTGAAACCCGTCTGAGTGCACAATACCTATGGAGAACGTGAGGCCTTTTCCTGCAAACTCCTTCCGCAGATCCTCCACGAATTTCTGCCTTATGTTTTCTTTCTAAGGAAAACAAAAAGATACCAATCATCTCTTGTGTTAGAAAGCACACATTCCTGGCCACAGTGTTGCACACCTTGTCTTCACAAACCCAGGATATTTCAGAAAGACTCACTTGATCAAGTTCGTAGAACTCAATGCGTTCTTCCTGGCTGCAGCTTCGTCCAACGGGGGACACATTCAACATCCCGTTTCGAAATTCAATGAAAGTACCCCTGGAGAGGAAAAGGGGACAGAGGTCCCGGAGACACATCATTTATCTGAGCTACGTTATAAAGAGGCTGCAAAGTGAGGCAGTTCCCAAGGCAGAGACTGCTGAGATCAACGTCTGGCAGAGCCGGGCTGAGCCGTGTGGCAGCCGTGAGCCCCACGGGGCGACGGAGCCTTGAACTGTGGCTAATCCGACCGGAGATGAGAGTTCAGAGATTTACTATGAAAAAGGAGTATAATCATCATTAATTATGCTTTATATTGGGGGGTGGGTACAGCTCAGTGGTAGAGTGTGTATGAGGTCCTGGGTTCAATCCCCAGCACTTCCATTAAAAATACATAAATGAATAAATAAACGAACTTGATTACCCACCCCCACAAAAACAAAACAAAAAAATTAAAAATAAATAAATAAGCTAATTATCGCCCCCAATAATGCTTTATATTGACAGCGTTTGAAATGATTATGTTTTAGATAAATTGGGTTAAACCTATTAAAATTAATTCCACCTGTTCCTTTCTACATTTTTAACATGGCCACAGAAAACTTAAAACACTGCCTGTGTGGCTCACATTGTGTGTCTGTTGGTGGTGCTGCTGCTGAGCAGAGAATGTTATATACAGTTAACGGAGAGCCAGGAAAGCCATTACCAGCTCTTCAAATTCCCCGAGGAATTTGAAAATTTATCTCCCAGACACCTTTGTTGGTGACCTAGTGAACATGCTGATTTTCACCAAGCAAAGCGACACGCAAAAAGGCTCTGAGGGACCTGGTGAGCCTGAGAGAGAACTGAGGAAGCGCAAGTCACCCAGGGGCAGGCTGCTACGAAACGGCTGATGTGACTGCAGAAATGAAAACAGCCTAACACTTTTTAAATTACTTCGAATGAAGATGTTAAAAAAACACATTTTCAAAACAAACATTTTCCCACCACGTTTCCAGTTAGAGTCTCAAAGTTGTTTCTTACAAACTCAATTAAGCGGTAAGCTGCTTATTCTAACAAACTCAACATAAGCGTTTTTTACTCTGAGATGTCTTCCAATTCTAAGCACCGATGACCGTGAGCTCTTGAAACGTTTTTCCCGAACCGTTTCTGCTCTTTTAACCAAACAGCTCTGATCTCCAGCCACGTGTAAACCCTGAGAAGACACGCGCCAGGTGGGCAGCTGGGGACCAGAGTCCAGGTCCACGCCACCACTTACGAGGTGACCCGGGCACCTCTCTGAGCCTCACAAAGGGCTAATGACACTCACTCTGATCTCTGAAGAGCCTCGTGAAAACAAACATACCTCGTAAACTGGTGGGAAGCAACAATCAGTCTTCAGGTAAAGTAAGAAAGTGGAACCCCCATCACTGGGTCCTCATCCTGCTGTGCTCAACTTGCAGAAAAACAGGCAAATGGTCTAACAACGTATGTGCACCTGAGATGCTCTTTCAAGCCTCCTGTCCTAGCTGCCCTGGAGATGGGACAGACCAGCCCGTCCCTGGCACCTTCCATGTGCACACTGGGGTACGGGGCACTGGGGATCATTCCCACAGGTTCTAAATGGTCAGAAAAAGAGCTCAATTGTTTTCCTCCAACTCAAGGACACATCACTCCTCTTATTCCCAAGGCGGGGAGGGAGGCTGATGCACTGCAGAAAAGCTTCTGTTCTAAAAACCAGGATTAAGGAGGTTGATCAAGCATTCACTTCCTCCCCGAAGATCTGGATGCTTTGAAGTCTTACTGCCCTTGCCTGACCTGCGTGGGGCACAGAGTCAGCACTGATGAGAAACGTGGGCAAATACTGAGCAAGGAGAATCTCAGCGCTGCCTCCTGAATTCACCAGGGGCAGCTCACGCTAATTGGGAATTCCAGCTCTGCCCGCTGATCCCCCTCGCTAGGTGATGTCCTCTTCGGGGACAGGAGTATACTTACCCTTTTTTCAATCTCACCTTAATACTTAGCCCAAAGCAAAGACTGAACTGACCTGGGATATGTTATATGTTCACTTTTACATGGAGAATTTCTAACACACACAAAAGTGAACAGCATAGGGTAACAAACACTCACATGCATCTCCCAGCTGCAACGAAGGTCGACTCTGGGCCTAGCCTGTCTCAAGTGTGCCCTGTCCTGGGACAGATCTGAGAGGGGCAAGCCCCCTGGCCTCTGAGAGGAGGCGCTGAGCAGGGGGCACCTGTTTCAGGAATTCTGGAAACAGGTCTTGGGCAGTCTCAAAACTGCAGCACGTCTTGAAATTCAATCGCCACTGAAAAAATGTTCCTTCTTCTAATCATTAAGTGCATTAAGTTACATATAAGTGCAGAAAACTGAGAAGATAATGAAAAGCATTTCAAAGAAACCTCCTGTAACCTCACTGCCAAGAAATAGCCACTGTTAGCATCTGGTCCATTTCCTGCCAATCTTCTAACTGTAGGCGTGTGCGCATATGACTGTGTGTTGTTACTTTTTAAAAATGGGAATTAAGATGATACTAGTACTCCGAGCCAGAGGTAGGTCCCCAAATCAAATGTCTACAGAGGCCAGAAAAATGAGACAAGAGGCCTGTGAAAGAGCAAGGGCGGGAATGCTGGGGCGCTGGGTGGGGGCAGCGCTGCTTGGCCCGCTGCTGCCACATAGAAGGTGGGTCATCGAGCTGCCAGGTCTTCAGATGCAAGAGAAGCCGGAAATCCAGACATTTTAAAACACAAAATCAGGTTTTTATATGATAGCACCTGATTCAGATTGTATTTAATGCTGGGGGCCAACCCAGCTGGGCTCTGCGTGGGATTTGGCCTGGGGGCCTCCAGGCTGAGGCCTCCCAACCTGGGGCTGAGTTTCCTTCTTGCACACTGTTTTTTCACTGGCATGCCCCCTAACTAAGAGCCTCAGGACGTAAATCGTTTTCAATTTCCATCATGTGGACGTGCCACCGTTTTCATAATCATTCGTCTACAGCTGGCTTGACGGTTTCCAGTGATCCCTTACTAAGCACTGGGCTTTGGACTTCCAGTAGCCCCAACCCACCAAGTGACCGCCCTCCACATTCCAGCGCAGCCTCTTTGCTGAAAGTACACCCACCTCTTCCTCGGGAGTTTAATTTTCGCAATGTAGCTCAGACAGTAGTTGATTAAATCTTGGATCAGGGCCTCGCCCAGGTGACCCTGAATATTCTAGAGAGAGAAAATGCCAGAGTCACTTGACATGGCGGAAGGCACTTTCAAAATGGCTTTGCAGCAAACCCAGGTTCCTGGCCATGATGGGCCGAGGGTCCCCAGGCTGATGCAGTGGTGACGGGGACACGCCCTGCTGCCTTCCCTTCCTCTCCCTATCCCTCTGGTTGAAAACACGAGGCAAACTACAAAGGGCTTTAGTCAAAAGCATTTTCTGCTTGTTACTCAAGGTCTTTGAATTCATTAGCTTTCAAGTGCTTCCTGGAAGCCCCAGAGAGCTTATCACTGCTGCTTTTATTCAATTAAGATATCTGCAGACACTGAGAGAAAATATATTTGTTCAACTTGGGCCTTCTCTTATGTCTGAACAGAACGATCTTAATGGTAGTAAGAGCTACACAGGACCTTTCAAAATGCTTGTAGCAAGGCAGCCTAGCCTAGACTCTGCTACCGTCATAGAAATATAAGATTAAGTGTCCTTAAAAAACAATTGTAAAAATTTATATTTTGGAATATGCAGTAGTCATATGGTTCAACACCCAAAATGTAAAAAATACAGGGTGAAGATTCATTACCACTCAGCTTCCAAACACACCTCCCCAGAGGCACTCAACGTCAAAAATCTTTTTAGAAAACATTTTACTGGTAGTACTTAGCGTTCGGATACTTGCGAACCTACCTGTTTGCATAAGAGTTTCCCATCTTTGTATGCTACCAAGCCATTTTCTGGAAACACATAATCATATTTTTCAACCACTGCAAACAAAAGAAGATTTAGAATGTAATGAAATGAAACCTGTGTTTCTTTTCATATTTTGTTTTCAACTTTTTTTTTAAATACAGTAGAACCTAGTTGTTTATCTACCTTGTACATAGTAATTTGAAACCTGTGTTTGTATTTCTTTTCTTTCTTTCTTTTTTTTTAATTGAAGTGCAGTCAATTACAATGTGTCAATCTCTGGTGTACAGCACAATGTCCCAGTCATGCATATATACACATATATTC